AAAAAAAAAATTTTTTTTTTTTTTTAAAGTGTTTCATTTTCGAAAATCTCTCATTTAATCTCTCATTCGGAAAATTACTTAAAAAGATTTACAATGCGTTCATATCAATGTGGTAAAGTTTCCAATAAAGTTCATTAAATAATAATGATTTCATTTTTTTTTTTAAAAAAAAAAATAATAAAGAAGTTGAATTTTTAATTATGGAAATAAATATAGTAAGTCAAAAAAATATATATATATTTAGTTAAAACAGTTAAAACAGGTAAAACAGGTATTGGAAAATTTTTATTAAACGTATAACAGAATAAGATATTACTAGTAACGTACTAGTTTAACTTTTTAGTTGATCTTGAAAAAATTTTTTTTTTTAGATCGAAAAAAATTTATTATGAACTTTGGAGATTATATTCCGGGTAGGCATTAATATTATCCCGAATATGGAACATAAGGAGAATCTGAATTTGGTCTCAATGAATTTTTTGAAAAACTCCGGAAAATATGAAGTATCGTACGGGATTTTAATTTATCCGCTTATGCGTTGTATAAGATGCACGTGATTATTTTGGAAAATCAATTCCGGTGATCTCTATCGGATTTAGTAATTTATTTATAGTTCAATCTTATATGACTTTAAAAATTATACATCTTCATTACGCTATGAACGTATATTATATAATAAATAAATTTAATTTAATAACACAACAATTGTTAAAAAAAAAATATTGTTTTTCTTTCGGGACAAGATATTTTTTTTTTATAGCAATTTATTTTATATTTCAAAACACAAGTTTGTAATCAGTTCTTTGTTACGCTATAAATAAATTTTCGAAAAACTAAATTATATATTATGATTTACGTGATAATTATATTTTTTTCAATCATTAATTTATTTTAATAAACAGGATAATTAACTAAAAATACAATTTTTAAAAAGAAACAAGTATGATTTTATTCGTGCTATATGTATAAATAATAAAAATTTCAATCATTAATTTATGGATTATTTTTTTTTTTGGATTAAAATACAACAATTTTATTCGTACTATAAAAAAATCAATAGAATAAAAATGATACCATTGCAATTTCCAAAATTTTAAGGGAAATTCATCCATGATTCATTATGAAATTTGCAAAATCCTAAACATCATGTCATTCATGTGCAGCGATCTAAATAAACAGAATGTGAGTACTGTACTGTCGAACCAAAAAATATGAATGATTGGGTCGGCATGGTAACAGAACATTTTGCTTATTCTGAAATATATAAAGACGCCCTTCAGAAAAACAAAAGGGTCGCACCATCTCAGCGATGCACAACTGTTAGTTTTCATCAAGGTTTGCACCAAGCTACTGTCACTAATTTCTGTTATTCATG